GTAAAGGATATTTACATTATATTTCTCTAGCAACTTCCTTAATTTTTATATTAGAGGGGTTGGTAAAAAAAAATAAACAAAAGGTAAACGTTGATTCAAAATTTTTTAAAAATAGGGATATTTTCGTAATTGTCACTTATTTCTCCATCTATATTTTACCTCATACCAAACATAGACTTTATAAATCTTACCTAATTTGTCCAGTAAATTTTTTTTCAACCAAACAACTTTTTTTACATTTTCCTACCAAACTCAATTTCTAACCATTTCCCTATCAATTACATTTTCCTAGTATTCAAAAAAATTCTCCTCAACCAAACGCCCCCTCAAGGGCAACTGAGGAATATGCCCTTTACCTTACGGACAGAAAAAGAAAGAAAAAGATGGCTGTCCAAATATTTTAAAGTTAATGCCTTAATGGTACATTTATTTTACCTAACAGAAAAAGAAGACAAAGATGGCTAACCAACGGTTTTTGAGCTAATGGTACATTAATTTGTCCTTTACCTTTAATTATTTGATTGGTTTTATTTTTTTTTGGTGTAGTGATTGCTTTTAATTCATTCATTAATTGATTACATCTAATAATATTTTATTTGACATCTATAGAATTGATTGTATCTAATAATATTTATCTCTTTTTAATTATGTTTTTTTTTTCTAAATTTTTAATAGTATTTTATACCTACAACTTGGTTACTAAAATGGCGCAAAAAGCTTAAAAAGAGATTTCATGGGGAAAGAAAATGAGTATTGCTATGCGAATTTTGGAGGTCATCGTAACACTATTTTCAATTGTATTTTTCTATAAATTTTTTATTACTATTTAACATTATAATCTAGATAACTTATTACATTTAATTTCTCGTACACGAATTATAATAATATTTTACATTGATGATATATCCAAGATATTTAGATAATTAAATATTATTAAAAATTTAATATCGAGAATTATTTTTAATTAATATTATTAAGACAAACTGAATAATAAAAAGAAAAACTACATTAAAAATAATTTCAACTTTCAATTATTGGCTTTTCAAATAATTGTAATTATATTTTAACAAATATATATGTATTACTTTATATAAATTCATTACAATATAAATTCCGACATGTACCATTCCCATAATCGGAACCATTTCTGTATGGGTTAGCTAACCTTGTAATCTTCCTCTGCACAAATAAGCTTGAACTGTTTTGAGTTGGAGTAGCTTTAACCCATGCATCTTTAATGGAACAAGGTGGGGTGTACCTGCAAGACACTCCGATGCTCAAGTCAGTTTTGGTTCATGCAGGTTTTATTATGTAGAAGAAGATATGTACCTTGATTTAGCACATTGGTATTTATAGCTGGGAGGTGACCAGCTTGGGAGATGACCTTTCTTTATGCTGAATGCATGTTGTGGAGGCAAGTCCCTTCTATTGGTTGTTAGGTTGCTGCAGAAGTTAGCGGTCGTGAAGTTGTAGTTTGCTGTGATGTAGCCATGATTACAGTAGCCTTTGTTGACTCAGAAACCTTGCTTAATGGTGAAGGCCTTTAACACGGGCCTGTATAATATTCTGATTATAATATTTCAGATCATAAGCCCCCCAGCTTTTTGCTTATGTTGAAGGCATGAGTAACAAGATATATAAGTTTGCGGAATGATGTGTTCGTGTGTCATTCTTTCATTTCATTGTGCTTTTACCATAGTCTGTATTTTCCTGGTGCTTGATGGCTTCACAATAATACTCGTGCCTGCATTTTACATATATAATTCATATACCTTTTGTTGTGAAGTCGACGCGAGGGATATCTTGAAAATTTTGAATGTGATGTTGCTTGTGTGAGGCCCTTTTGCTTCTCGCGCCATGGAAGTTTTAACCGGTTTAAGATTTTACCTTCCTTTTCTTCTTTACACTCTGAAAGCTTTAACCAGTTAAGATTTTACCTTCCTTTTCTGCTTCGTGCACTGGAAGTTTTAACCAGTTAAGATTTTACTTTTCTTTTCTGCTTCGCGCAATGAAAGTTTTAACCAGTTAAGATTTTACCTTCTTTATGACTTCTTCGCACTTGAATTTTTAGCCTCTTAGACGTTACCCTTAAGTGTCTTAAAACCTAAGGTTAAGAGCTTTAGGTTCTTTTAGTAGGTTGTAGACGAGGCTCATATCTCGCTTGTTCTGTGAAACCTGCAATTTCCATAGATCTCAAAGAATAATGTCAAATGATAAGTTCAATTAGTTCAAATCTATTCAAGATTCTTTGGTTGCCTCTACTGGTGACCAAGTGCTTGTATAAACTTTCATAAAATAACTTCAAATAATTGGAGGGTGTGATAGTAAAATAATTGAAAGTAATTCGTTTCATGCTCCAATCTGCATGCATGTTGAGGTGCCTCTCAAATATATGATTTTCTATACATAAATCATATATTTGGTTTTACCAAGAGAGTGATACGATGAGTCCTACCATATTTGTGGCAAGATCACTAAAATAAAACTGGTATTTGGAGGCTGTTTATTCGAGGCGGTTTCACTTAAACCGCCTCCAATTGATACATAGAGGTGGAACTTCCGGCGGTTTAATTTATTTGAAGCGGTTGACGTTAAACCGCCTCCAAATGTATATTAGAGGCGATCCAATCTTACATTGAAACCGCCTCTAATTTCTCCCTTTAGAGGCGGTTAAACCATAACCACCTCCAAATGTATATTAGACGCTGTTAAAATAACCGCCCCCATTGACCATTTAGAGGCGGTTGAGATATAATCGCCTATAAATGTTGCAATTAGAGGCGATTTCAATGTAACCGCCTCAAAAGGGAGCAATTAAAAGTTTTTAAAATAATGACATATACATTTGGAGGCGGTTGCACGTCAACCGCCTCAAAATATACATTAAAGGTGGTTAAAATAACTGCCTCCAAAGCATATTTAGAGGCGGTTCATGATCTATCGGACAATGATATTCAAAGAGGAAAATCTTTTTGTTCAGCCGTTGGATCGTCCTCAAATTTGGTTAGTGTGTTCTTCTCTTGTAATACTTTAATATAACCGTTCGGATTTTTAAGTTGAATTATCTAGTTTTATATATAAATTTCTAAAGATGACTGTTGCACATTGAAAAAAACCCATCTCACCTTCACTTTGAAGTCTCACATTGGATGTCACTTGTTCCTCTTTCTCCATTCCCTTCTATATAACAACCCACACTAACACACACATATACAAAATTCAATAAGTTATTTATATTCAACTAATAACAATTATATTATATTAACTAATCACTATCGAAAATAATATTAAAAATAAAAAATTTAAAAATAAAAATTATATTAACTTTTAAAAGTAACAATTTTAATATTAAAAATTAAAAATTTATATAATTTTAACTATTTGGAGGCAGCTATATAACCGCCTCAGATTATCTTTTGGAGGCGGTTAAAATAACCGCCTCAGATTATCTTTTGGAGGCGGTTAAAATAACCGCCTCAGATTATCTTTTGGAGGCGGTTAAAATAATCACCTCAGAATATGTTTTGAAGGCAGTTAGAATAACCGCCTCAGATTGTCATGTAGAGGTGGTTATTCCAGCGGTTTCTGAAAACTGCCGTATTTTGCCTCGCGACGGTGGTAAACGAGGCGGTTTATGAACCGCCGATCCAAGCATTTAGAGGCGGTTTGAACCGCCTCAAAATGCCCATATAACTGCCTCTAAAAACCAATTTTCTTGTAGTGGATCTTCTATGAACGGATAGCTGTCGGAAGGGTTGGAGGCGTAGAAGCACACGGTCTCCTACTTGAAAGGTGAGATCTTTTCGTTTTGTATTTGCTTGTATCTTCATTAAAGCTTGAGCCTTTTTTAAGTTCTGTTTCAACGATGCGAAGAGCAAGGAGCGCTGTTGGAGATCTGAGTCTACTGCTTCGAGGGAAGACGGCCCCATAACATACTCTAGGAGACATGGAGGTGATCGGCCGTACGTTGCTTGAAAGGGTGAGAAGCCCGTAGACCGATTGTGATCTGTGTTATAATGAAATTCCGTCCATCTGAGGTATCTGTGCCATAAAAAAAGATGTTCGTGAACAAAACATCTCAGGTATTGCTCTAAACTTCGATTAACTCTCTCAGTTTGTTCGTCTGATTGTGGGTGGTATGCTGAACTGAAATGTAAAAATGTACCCTGCAATTTGAATAGTGTTTGCCAAAATTCACTGAGGAAGATGAGGTCGCGATCGAAGACAATGGATTTAGGAGGACCATGCAACTTTATGATGTTGTCCCTGAAAACTTGGGCTACCTTAGCAGCTGAGTATTTAGAGCTAATAGATCTTTGATAAATATTGATGATGTTACAAAAGCTAATCATAGAAACTGAGCCTGGTGCTATCGGTTGGAGTGATGTTTGGCCTAAATCAACGAAAAAGGAAATGAGGGGATTAGAAAGATAACAGTTTTCTTTATTTGGGAGTTTAAAATTAGAAGGTAAAGGAACCTAACGTGAGTTGTTACGCTTCTATTCCTCTTGAAGACCCAAATAATTGGGGTGGAATGGGGTGAAATAAAAATAATAATGTTGTTAGTTACGTTAGTTTGATTTCATTCTTTTATAATTTACCTCCCAAATAAGGTAATGGAGTTATGTTCTGTTTTCTTATTAGTCTTCCTCTTACGGGAATAATTAATACATGCTTCAGCAAGATCTCAAACTTCAACCAGGTATACCTAAATTTATGTGAATGTGCCTAAAATGAATGGTGATGATCTTAGTGGAGCATCCATTAGTTAAATAAAAACTTATATTTATAGATGTCCAATTTAAAATAACTTACGTATTTCACGAGTAAAATAACTAGTTAAATTGTACAATAACAAAACAGGAAAAGCAGTTCACTATCATCTTTATTTCAGAAAATCAAAAATAAAATACAAAACATCCCACAGTAGATAGAGATCTTATTTTCCTTAGTACAAGGAACACTTTCATTTAATAAATTGACCAACCAGCACGCTCCATTTATTGAGGGATCTTATTGAGCTTACAGTAAGCATAATCCTTATATTTCTCGGTCTTGTATTTAGGTGGATTGTCCTGGTTAACCAACTTTGGGTGAGGACCAACTTCGTGATGTGGTTGGGGCTCTATGAACACTGGCCACGACATTCTTGTCTTTTCTTTGTTCACAGTTGTTCTGTGCAACACTGCCTTATATTTCCCATTGCTCAATATCTATATATATAACCATAAAATAAAATAAATATCATTATTTGCTCATCCAAAATTTATAACAAACAACGTTAATATAAGATATGTGTATACCTCCAGTTGGTCGCCAATGTGAATAACGAGGGCATTTGGGACATACTTAACATCGTACCAGTGACCATCCGCAGAGACTTGAAGACCCTGCACCTCGTTGGGCACAAGAATGGTCATGTAGCACATGTCTGTGTGCTGTGGCACACCTAGAACGATATCAGGGCATGGACAAGGTGGGTAATAGTTGATTTTTAAACGGTGAATCATTTCATCTCCACCTTCAGCCTCCTTTAACTCATGTTCTTCAAGTCCTAGCCCTATTGACATACTTTTGAACAATTTGTCTACAACCCCACGCAGGTACTTGGCGTATTCCTCATTAACCTCCCTGTCAGAAAATCATGTGTTATTATTCAAACCTCATTTGAGTTCTCAAGTTATATAACATTTTAAAAGAGGTTTTTACTAAAGGGTGCCCCTCAAAGCTGCTGCCATAAGCCTAATCATTTTGGACCCGCCAGTCCCCACCCCAATCAACCTGTTGTTGACTTTGTTATGTAATTGTATGGTCTTTATTCTCCTACACTTTCATGTCTAATTTTCTTTGTCTAGGGTGTTAGCCTCGTTTATTACAATTAAAAAAAACTAAAACAAAAGAGACTGCATGATTATACAGACTGCTAGCTTAAATTTATAATGTTATTTAAAGTATTAGTACTCTCTAAAAAAAATGTCGTTAATAATAATTAATTAGATTGAGATAAATAACCTGATTTAAGATTAGTTTACTAAAAATCAAACTATTTTTTTTAAGCTCTCTACTCATGTTGAACTTCAGATTTTTTTTCATTAACACAAAACACCAAACTTGTATTTCTGGTAAGGAATTATAGAGGGACTAACACCAAAAACCCGGTACCTATACATAGAGGAACCGACATTTATTTCTACAGATACTAACTACCAAACAACCGCTGCGCCCACCACCCGTCACTTTTTTTATAAAATTAAGGGAAAAGTTCACCAATGCCCCTGTAGTTTGCTTCAGAATCACCTATGTCCCTGTGGTTTTTTTTCTATCACACATGCCCCTGTGCTTTGTAAAAAATAAAAAACCACAGGGACATATGTGATAAAAAACATACCCTTTTACAAACCACAGAGGCATAGGTGATTCTGAAGCAAACCACATGGACATTGGTGAACTTTTCCCTAAAATTAAATATGCATGGATGTTATAAATCTGTCAAATCTCAATGCAACACTAACATGTAGCATTACGACTGTCGAGAGGAGATTGTTCGTGCTGCAATGCAGAAGAGAGCAGTTCATGAAGAAGAATCAAATACGACCAGATTTTGCACTGATATGCACGACAAGAGGTAAATCTGAATCGTAATGATCAGTTGCATTCCAAATCGCAATAGTTTTAACGCTTACGCAGATCCAATTGTGCCTACAATTGGTACCAGAGCCGGATTGCGTATTTGGATGCGGATTCTTTGATTTACGTTATTCATGTAATTAGTTGCTTCATGGAATATGACACCTAGGGTTCTACGAATATTGGTATATGTTTCGCATGTGTATCTTTATAATTTCTTTCATTAAAAATTGATGCTTTTATATCGTTTCTAGCTTTAATCCATGGTAGAGGTTTGGTTGTATTTTCGTTGGATGTAACAAGGGGGCTAATCCCTTATGATTAGGTTTTCTCCTTGTTTTTTATTTGGATTTTTGTATATTTTTTAGATTTTTGTAAAATTGTAATGAAAAGAAGCCAAAAGTAGGACATCTAAAGCCATTTTGATGTGTTCATGATCGATCGATGGCCGATTGAAGAGACCAAATACGTGGAATGAAAGAGGACAAAAAGACGATGAAAATGGCGGCCGGAGATTCCCCATAAGGTGATACACGTTCCGCCTAAAGTGGATGCGAGTGGGCTTTATGTGTCGTCACAAATCTGACACGTGAAGGCGCGTCCGACGGCTTTTGGGTTGGCTTTGGTGGCGCCGTTCCCTCTTCTCAAGGCAATTTTGACCCTAGGTTGACGTGCTGACACAACTTCATGTGATGGAGCAGTGGACATGATAGCTAGAGTTTCCAAGTTTGGGATTAAGGTTTCTTGCCAAAGTTTGATATTTTGGGCCTTTAAGCCCATGATTACCGTAAAGAGGCTTGAAACAAATCCATGTGGACTCAAAAGAAGGACAAGATGGATAGACAAGTCAGAGGATAAATTATTTTGATTTGTATTTGTATTTTTTATTTTTTATAGGAAACCAAGGATTATAACTTATTTTATAATAATTTTATTTTTATGAATGGATGAATTATATGGTTTGATAACATGCTTGATGTGATAACATGCCATATGGAATAGATGGTGTCATATTGTTGCATAACTTGTTAATTACATTAGCATGATGATTGTTATGTTTGAACGACTAGATTAATAGTCATTGTGACAACTAATTTATATTTCAAAATTTAAATGTAATGGTTGGTACATTTGATAGGCTAGATTGTCGTTAAGACATTAATTTTAATTTTTGAAATATATGCATAACGAATTTAATGATTAATAGTCGTTATTGAAATTATTTTGATTTTAAATTATCCTTATAAATAATAATTATGATGATTCCTAAAATCTATATTAATAATTAAGTTAATTATTTAGGATAATTTAAATCTAGATAAATAATTGAGCATATTTCCTAAGAGAATTATTTAAAGTTTTGTGAGTAAATCTGTGGGTCTTCTAAAATGATCACATGTTAAACACATGTTGCATACCACAATTACGTATCATGATTGTGTGGAGTACATACTGCCTATTATGAGCTGATCTTAGGACCTTAGAGCTCGTTTGGTGGACATGATCAATGGATAGGATAAAAGGACTAGATAAGAATATATATGATATGAGACTGATAAACTCATATCCTATCTTATGTTTGATGTGCACAAGATAAGCAGTCTGATAAGATAATGTTATCTTATATGGTGTTTGGGAAAACCATATAGTTTCATGCTATGATATAAATAGACAAAAATACCCATTTGATATAATTTCATACAATTTTTTAAAATTACTTTTAAAATTACTTTTTTCCTACTTATTTACACATTATTTCTTATTTTAAATTATTAGAAAAAAATTAAAAAGTCATAATTTTAAATATATTAAAATACATAAATAACTTTAAAAAATTAAAATATTAAAAATTATATCCTCACCAATTAAATTTTTAAAAATTAAGTTTTAAATTGAATGTTAATATTGGTGGCCGGTGGCTAGTGACATTGATAGGTGGTGACGGCAGAAGCTGGTGCGATGGGTGACCGATTGAATTGGTGGTGGTATTAGTTGTGGGGGCAGGTGGCAATGGGTGGTGGTGATAGCGCCGACAATAATAGGTGATAATTGTGGTGATTGATTGAGGGCATTGATGGTTGGTGCTTGGTGGTTAGAGGTACTGATGGCCAATGGAACCGGCGGCGATGGTGGTAGTTGTTGGTGCGATGGTGACATCATGACATGTGAGAGTGTTTGGTGGAAGTGATGATGGTGGCGGCACTGATGTTGACATGTGTCAATTGTGGTGGCTAATAAATGGCAGTGGATGAAGGTAATAATGGCTAGTGGTGGCGGTGACGATTGGTGCATAGCGGCCTGAGGTGGTGGCTGGTTGGTGGTGGCGGTGGCGGTGGCGGTGAGTGGAGGAAATTGTGGGGGCTGATCGGTGGTGGTGCCTGGTGGTTGGGGGTTATTGTAGCTTGCGGCAATGGTAGTGGATGGCAGCTCATTGTGATGGTTGGTGGTGATAGTGGTGGCTGTAGTTGGTGGTAGAGGTAGCTAATGGCTGGCAGCGACAACGGTGGCTGCTTGTTAGTGTAATGTTCACAGTGGAAGAACATAGGGCTATATTTGGAATAAGAAGGAAGTGACATTTTTTATCCTATCCTGTCCATTCATAACTTGAGTTTCCCCTTAGGATAGGTTATCATATTGTTTACATGATAAAATGAGCCTACAAGATAAGCTCATCATATTTTGTTGGTTCACCAAACAATGGATAAGGGCAGGATATGATATCATATCTTATCATATCCTCCTTATCTTGTCCACCAAACGGGTCCTTAATGTTTTCAAAATTCGGATAAGTTCAACGATGCACGTTCATCGGCGTGTTTGCTTACATAATTTTTAAAATCAAAGAAAGGCTACTCTTAATTGAACAATTCTAAGAAATTGGAAAACTGCTTATGTTGAATGGGAGGAGATTTAAAAGATTAATTTAATCTCCAACCGCAATGTAGGACCATTATGCAAAGCCCCACCGGATAAGCATGATTGAATTTTATTAGATTGGACCTAAATAATTATGGGAGGAGATTTAAATTAAGAAATTAATTTAACCTTCAGGCGCATTGTGGGGCTATTAGTAAAATAATTGTGAGAAGCCCCACTCGATAAGCATGATTAAATTTTATTGGGCCCTAATAATTTCAAAATTTTAATAAAGTGTTGTACGACTCATCGTTCGACAATACTAAGTTATTAAAAAAAATGTGGAATTAAACAATGAATTTTACATTCGACAAAGCTTATGAAAATTCTCATTACAAATATTGAATGTGTGAAGGTCTTAAATTAAGTAATTAATTTCAAAACTTGTGGGCTCCATTTGTCAGTTTATTATTGAAATGGTTATGGCTGAAGGCCCACCGGATAAGTATAATCGAATTTCACTAGATTAAACCTCAATAATTTTAAAGTTTTAGTAAAATGTTGTACGACCCAATGTCGGCAATGCTTGGCTACTAAGGATAATTTTGAAATTAAACAATGATAAATTACATTCAACTTTGGTAAAACTATTAACCCTCCCACTAAGGCTCTGGTAATTTTACTGAAGGCCCAAATAACAATTTTAGTTTTTAAAGTGACTTCCCCACCGTAAGCCTTGTAAAGAAATCTAAAAGATTGTTAACAATAATAATAATAGTTAAGAGAAACTATTTGCGCTTAGTTTGGTTAAAACATAGTTTGACAATGCAATTTGATTCCTCAGTTTCATTTCGAAGTTCATCTTCGTCTTGTTTGTTCTGGTGCATTATTTTAAAATGGTCTTTATTACTTGTGTCCTATACCCTCATTGAGTCTATAATGTTGAATTAAAAGGATAATGAACAAGAATATTCACCAAAGAAAGAACAGTCTCAAATGAAACATATCTTTTGCTTTTGTAATTGGGTTAAATTACCTCAAATAGGAGACATGGTTTAATTAAAAGAGGGATTAAAAGTCCATAGTTTTTGAACTAAAAGCTACATGCAAGTCCTATTTGGAAGGTAAATTAACTAGTAATCGTACAAGATCAAGGGGATTTGTGCAACTATTCAACTACAATTGGTACATATTGATGTATGTGGGCCAATTACCCTTGAAGGCAAAAGAGGTTATGAGTACTTCATTATATCAATGTTTACTCTAACCTAGTGCATTATAAGTCTGAAGCTTTTGGAGAATTCCAAGTGGTTTAAGTCTTAGGCAGAAAAGTATCTAGGCATTCAAATCAAAACACTTCGGTTAAAACTGAGGTGATAAATACCTGTCTGGAAAGTTCAAGTCTTGCCTGATTCAAAAGGGGATAGTTTTCACAACTATCAACTCTAGGAACGCATTAGTTGCATAAAGTTGAAAAATACAAAAATCAAACATTTATAGACTTGGTGAAGTCCATGATCAATTATTCATCATTGCCAATGTTGTTCTGGCGAGATGCGTAGGAGAAGGCAATGTATCTTCTTAACTTGGTTGCATCAAAGTCTGTTGTAAAGACACCTATAAAATTATGGAAAGGGTGCAAGCCCAGTTTAAACTATATTCGGATTTAGGATGCTTGTTGCGATCACGACAAGTATATCGGTCTTACAGGTAATAAAGTGTGAGTAGAGTATTGTTCCCACAATGATTGATCTATCAAGCACTATTTTCACTACTCTACCAAATCGAATCAACCAGAATGATTTTTGTGAATATGATTAAAATATAAAAGCGGATACTAAGACTAACAAGTAATTATCAAGAACAAAAACAAGAACTCTGACTAAAAATAGGAATAAAAATTAATAATACAAAAACATAGCTAGGGTTTCGACTTCCCCAATTTTCTCCTAATGAATCTACCATTTCCCATAATCCATATTCAAACTAATGTTATTGATAATTCTTCAAAATTTAATTAAAACCCAATCCCTTGGTATTTCAATTCTTTGACCTATTAAAAATCCTAATCCCTTAGTGAGCCTGCCTAGGGCAAGCATTAAGAACGAAGAATCAAAAGAGTCATAGGTTTCATAAATCTATCAAAAGAGTCATAGGTTTCATAAATCTATCTCTAGATCAAAGAAAACCTAGCAATTAATCAAATGAGAGTTTAACACCAACATCTCTTTTGTCATGCAAAATTCATGTGTTCATCTAAGATTGGCCAAATCATAAACGAAACTGGGAATGAAAAACAAATTAATTACATAACATAAAAATTGAATATCAAATTACAAGAAATGAGTAAATAATATTAGGAATCCATTGATTCCATTTAACCCTAACTACAAGAAGACCTAGCTGACATAGTTAGGAAAATTAAGACAAAAGATGAAAAACTAATGAAATCCATAAAAGAACTTGATAACCAGTCTCCACGGTAAAACTTTGACCCCTTCCTTTAACTCCTTAATCCTAGATTAGAGATTTCTCCTCTTCAGGTTGCAAAAAATTGATCCAATACCCTTTTTCGTTCCCTTTTTATTAAAAGGTCCATGGGCTTTCCTTTATGAGATGCTAGTTGTGTTTGCTCGCTGAAACAAGCAACTTAGCGAGGAAATAAAATATGCTCGTTGACTTGCTCGCTGAAACAAGCAACTCAGTGAGCTGCAACATAAAAAAACACGTCTTCTGGACTTGCTATCTTGAGCGAGCAATCCAGCGAGATGTAGCACGAAAACACTCTTTTGACTTTGGCTTGCCTTGAGTCTTGTCTTTCTCTGGCTTCCTTGATCCATCAATGATCTAGTATATCAATTTTAACCTGAAACTAATACATTTTTCAATCAGTATCTTACTGATAAACCCCTAGTTCATCAGGTTTTTAAGCATGAATTAGTATCAATTTGTGTGATTAAATGGATGGAAAAGAGGTTAATATCCTAGAAAGCCCTAAAGTACAAGTTCTGAAAGCTTTGTTGAAATCTACATTGTTTTTGTAGAGAAATGAAGCTCAAAGAAGCAAATGAGAGAAGGAAAAAGATTCTGAAGAGTGGAAATTGCCAAGTGTTGAGCGCTAAAACATCCACTGAGAACGTTTTAGCGCGCTGCTGCATAAAGAAGTCAAAAGTTGGTGGTGCCGAGCGCCAAAACGTCCAATGCAAAGGTTTTAGCGTTCTGATGTGCAAAAATGTTCTAGTCTTGAGCGCTAAAACGTTCAAGGAGAATGTTTTAGCGCTAAAGACAGTTAAAAGCAGTTGAGCATCCGTCAAAGTTGAGCGCTAAAATGTCCAACATAGAACGTTTTAGCGCCCAAGTCAGTTTTTGGCTGTTATTCAGTTGTATTTGGTGACTCTATAAAAGGGCAAGTGCCTTCATTTTCTGAATATCCTATCTCAGATCCTCTGATCTGACTCTTCACTTTCTCTGACTTTCCAAATTCTTTAGGATTAGTTTTTGTAATAGTTAGTACATCTTTATGTAATTGTAATTGAAGACTGAAGACTCAACCATCATGACAATGGAGTTTGATCTTTCTTCTTCTCTTGTTTATATTTTCATTATGTCTGAGTAGAGTCCTTTGTAGTCTGATTCAATGGAACTCAAGTGTGAATTTATGAATGGTTAATTGAATATTCTGTTTATCTATTATGTGATGATATGAAGTTGTCTTTATTGATTCTTTCTATCAAGGGAATAATGTAGAACATGGATGTTTACATTATTTCTGTAATTGACAACTTCATCATTAGTGTTCTAGTAGTCAAGGGATTGATGCTAGGATTCTGATGTGATCTTAAGATCTTAGTATTTAATGCATGTATTAAGAAGGGAATCACCAAGGGATTCAGGTTTCTGATTAATGTATCAATCAAGGTAGTAAGGGATTACATCTTGATGATAAGAAAAAGGTTGATTAACATCACATAGTAGATAATTTATTATAGGAATTGATTCATACATAAGTTCATGCTTGAGGGAATTGATGACTGGCTACTTGTTTAAAGTATAATTCACACTTTATTTGTTTATCAAGTTTTACTTTCATTCAATTTAATTTCTGGTGACAAGAAATCAATGCAACCAATAATCTTTTGTTTGATTCAACTTAAGTATATATGGTTAGTCGGTGTTTGAATCCAAATCCTCGTAGGAACGATCTTTACTCATCATTTTACTACTTGTGTGACTAGTACACTTGCTAAATACACAACAAGTTTTTGGCGCCATTGCCGGGGATTTGTTCTTCAACATTGACAGACATCATTAGTATTTGAGATTGAGTCTTTTATTTTTCAGCAATTTATATTTTTGTGTGAGTTTTTGTTCAATTTCAATTCTGGTGTATGCGAGGTACTATTGATCCAAATTCTTTGTTGTTTGACCCAGAATTAGAAAGGACAATTAGGAGGATAGAAGGGCAACAAGACGCAGACAGTTACAGGAAAATGGTGAATCAAGTGTGACAGTTCAAGAAGAAATTATGGCAGAAAATCATGTGCAACCACCACAGAGGACACTGGGAGAGTACATGACTCCCACTGTCATTCCACCAATTGGGAGTGTTGTTAGACCTACAGTGAAGCCCAACAATTTCGAATTGAAGCCTGCACTAGTACAGTTGGTGCAGAAGGAACAATTTGTTGGGACCAGTGCAGAAGATCCATACCTGCATATTGAATTTTTTTTACTGTTGAGTGATACTGTGAAAATCAATGGAGTGACCAGAGATGCCATTCTATTGAGGTTGTTTATTCATTCACTGAAGGATGATGCCAGTAGATGGTTACAATCACTACCACAAGAGAGTATCACAACTTGGGATGATCTGCAAATCAAGTTCTTGGCCAAGTTCTTTTCAGCATCCAAGAGGGCAAAGTTGAAGGATGAGATTACAGGGTTCAAGCAAAAAGAGTCAGAGTCTATCTATGAGGCTTGGGAGAGGTTCAAGACACTCTTGAGGAAATGTCCACAACATGGGATAAAAGTGTAGAATCAGGCAGCAATATTCCTCCAAGGGTTGACAACCAACACTAGGATATTGGTGAATTTCACAGCAGATGGTTCATTGACAACCAAGACTTCTCAAGAAGCCCTTGACATATTTGAGTCCTTAGCATCTCAGGAGTTTGACAATGCTCCAGTGAATAACAAAAGAATGGGAATTATAAAACTTGATGGCTATGATGCTTTGTTAGCCAAGAATGATCAGATGATGCAAATGCAGAAACAACAACAACAACTGGATGCTTTCACTAAGCAGCTATCTTCTCATAAGGTTGCTTCTGTGGACACTAATTCTGTGTGTGCCAGTTGTGGGAAAAGCCATGTTACAGATGATTGTGATTGTGGGGGACCTGCTGAACAGGCAGAAGTGAATGGGGCATGGTATGATCAGAGGAACTATAACAACCAGGAGCGAAAGGTTTATGTTCCAGCATGGAAGAATAAGAATCAACACCCAGGGTTCAGTTACAGTTCCATTCATCAGTTGAATCCTCCACTGCATCCTCCTCCAACACACTCATCACAGCAAAGTGATACCTCTGCATGGGAGAAAGCTTTTGCCCAGTTATCAAAGACTACTCAAGAGTATATTCAGGGGTCAAATTCCTTCAGAGAAGAAACTTATGTTTTCATGCAAGAGACAAAGACAGCATTCAGGAACCAGGAAGCATCTATCCGGATTTTGGAAACACAAATTGGCCAGTTGTCTAGACAGATATCTAATAGGCCACAGGGAAAGTTCCCTGGTGATACCATGGTGAATCCAAAGGAGCACTGCAAGTCAATCATTACAAGAAGTGGGCTTGTGCTTCAACCGATCAGCAAGAAAGTGGAAGAGAAGAAAGATGAGGAGTAAGTTGTTGTTGAAGATGTTGTAGTTGAAAATGATGGAAAAGAAAAAGTTGAGGAAGATAAGAAAGAAGAAGAGGTAGTGGTTGAAAAGAGTTCTTCACCCAAGAAGTTAATGAAGTGGGAGAAGAAGAAGATGGCTGACAAGCAGGACCAGCCAATTAACCTATCTCTATATGCCAAAGTTCCTTATCCTCAACGGTTGAAGCAGGAAATTCAGAAGCAGCATTATGCAAGGTTTCTGGATATTTTCAAGAAGTTGCAGATCAACATTTCATTTGCTGAAGCCTTGGAGAACATGCCACACTATGCAAAATACATGAAGGATCTTCTGTCTAAGAAGAGAAAGCTGAAGGATGGTGAGACTGTGGCATTAACAGAAGAATACAGTGCCCTGATTCAGAAGAAGCTTCCTCCAAAATTAAAAGACCCAGTAAGTTTTAGCATTCCTATTGCCATTGGAGATGTGGAAGTAGGGAAGGCACTTTGTGATTTGGGGGCCAGCATAAATTTGATGCCATTGTCTGTATGTAGAGCTTTGGGAATCAACAAATTGAATGATACCAATGTTATTCTGCATCTAGCAGATAGATCCATCAAGAGACCAGAAGGGGTGGTAGAAGATGTTCTGGTTAAGGTGGATAAATTCATTTTTCCTGTGGACTTTGTGATACTTGATATGGAAGAAGAAGATACTGAAAGCCCTCTACTTCTAGGGAGGCCATTCTTAGCAACTGCTAGATCCTTGATTGATGTTGAACAAGGGAAGTTGATGCTAAGGGTGAATGAAGAGACAATTACAATTGATGTGTTTGAAGCCATCAAACATCCTGTTGATGTGGAGGATTGTTTCAGAATTGATATCATACAAGAGGTTGTGAAAGAAGTGACAGGAGAAGAAGACGTGTCATTTGAGGAGGACAAATTCAAGGAAGAGACTAGTGGGGAATATTATCAGGAGGAACCGGCGGTTGAAGAGCTTGAAAAGAAGGTAGATGACATTCCTGAGGGAGCACCTAAGGTGGAACTGAAAAAACTACCTTCAAATCTGAAGTATGTGTTCCTTGGGGATGATCAAACATACCCAGCCATTATCAATGCATTGTTGTCTGAAAGGGAGGAAGTGAAGCTGGTTGAGGTGCTCAAGAAGAATAAGAGAGCCATGGGCTGGTCATTTTCAGATCTTAAGGGTATCAACCCTTCCTTCTGCACTCATAAGATATTGATGGAAGAGGAAGTCAAACCAGCGAGACAACCACAGAGAAGACTGAATCCCACTATGAAGGAGGTAGTGAGGAAAGAGGTGGTGAAGTTGCTTGATGCTGGGATGATTTATCCTATTTCAGACTGTTCTTGGGTGAGTCCAGTTCAGACAGTGCCTAAGAAAGGAGGGATGACAGTTGTGCGGAATGAGAACAATGAACTGACCCCTACAAGAACAGTCACTGGCTGGAGAATATGCATTGACTACTGGAGACTCAACAAAGCAACAAGGAAGGACCATTTCCCTATTCCATTCCTAGACCAAATGTTAGAGAGATTGGCAGGACATGATTTCTACTACTTCTTAGACGGATATTCCGGCTACAATCAGATAACTGTGGCTCCGGAAGATCAGGAGAAAACTACATTCACTTGCCCCTATGGAATCTTTGCATACCGGAGGATGTCGTTTGGCCTATGCAATGCACCAACGAATTTTCAAAGGTGCATGCTTTCCATATTCTCTGACATGGTAGAAAGGTGTATTGAGATTTTCATGGATGATTTTTCTGTATTTGGTCCTACTTTTGATGCATGTCTAGAAAACCTGGATAGTGTTTTAAAAAGATGCCAAGATTGTAATCTTGTGCTGAACTGGGAGAAATGTCACTTCATGGTGACAGAGGGTATTGTTTTGGGACACAAGGTGTCCAACAGAGGGATTGAAGTGAATAAAGCCAAAATCTCTGTTATTGAGAAACTACCCCCTCCCATAAATGTTAAAGGTGTGAGAAGCTTTCTAGGTCATGCAGGGTTTTATAGACGCTTCATAAAAGACTTTTCCAAAATTGCAAAACCTTTATGCAAATTTTTAGGGAAGGATCAAGAGTTTTTGTTTACTGATGACTGCTTGGATGCATTCCATATTTTGAAAGAAAAGTTAATCACTGCACCAATAATCATGGCACCTGATTTTTCATTACCTTTTGAACTGATGTGTGATGCCAATGATTATGCTGTGGGGGTAGTTCTAGGCCAAAGGAAGGACAAATTATTGCATGTCATTTACTATGCCAGTAAAATTCTTAATGATGCACAAAAGAATTATGCTACTACAGAAAAAGAGTTATTGGCAATTGTGTATGCATTTGAAAATTCAGATCATATCTGCTAGGGTCAAAGGTTATTGTTTACACTGACC